ACAATATACGCAATGTAATAGTTTACGCTGTCATATTTCATCATTAAGAAAACAGGATTTCATCTTTTAAATTTTAACTTCTACTTGTGACCGAACAGTTGTTTTTATCTCAAATATTAGTTTTTGACCCCTAACGAGAGTACTTTTTTGTTTTCATTTTTGGCAAGGATTCTAAAAATATGTAGTAAGGGTTGTGATAGCGAAACACCTTCCATATGTGTCTATTCTTTGATCGACACCAGGGCTGATTGTGTTCCGGAAAAAACCCGGATTTCCTGAATTTTCGCTAACAGTGATCCGGAAGTTTCCGGAGATCGAAGGTCCAGATGTTTCAAAAATTCATTGATCACAGAAGTTTCCAGAAATCAAATTTTCAAAGGTGGAACTTAAAAACACAGTTTATTTTATTTGTTTGTAAGGGAGAGTCAGAGAGATACTTTATAAGCTTATATTCATGATTAATATTCATTTTTTATCAGTAAATAGTTGTTATAATCATAAACTCAAGAAAAAAAGACATATTTGTAAATTTTAATTACTTCTGCAGGTCATCATTGGTATGTGTAAAATTTTAAATATATTTTAAGTAAACTAAGAAATATTGAGAAAAAGGAAGCAAAAAAACCTTGTTTAAATTTTTAAACTCAAGAAATTTTCCGGAATTTTGACATGGGCTTACAATCACCCCTGTCGACACTCAATAAACATTGAACACTTTTTACTCTCAACTAGAGAATAGGCTTTGCTACAACTAATCGCACCCAGATAGCAAAATAAGGTTTATTTTCATTCATCAAAAACCGTTCAGTGTAAACCTAAAAAGGTTTGTTTTGCGGTTTAACCTTCTAACCTTAAAACGAGATCTGTGGCAATCTGCTCTATTTTAAGTTCATTACCCTAATCCAAAACCTTGGAAAACGACCTATGAAAAAACCTTAAATCGAGATTGACTGAGGGTTTTCAAGCGTAAAAAAATCCTTTAATATAGCTAGTCTAAAGGAGAAAATAATCATAAATCTAGGTAATTATAAGGTTTCTTTTCGCAAAGTCTTGTATGGTTAGCTAAAATCCACCTTCTCATGAAATTTTAATGAACAATGCAATTTGATCCTGTCGCTAGTATGACGTAAGTTAAAACGTCAATATGAACCTAAATGACAACACTTTTTAAAAAAGCTTAAAAAAATAATTTTTAGTCCTTTTAGGATGAAAGGTTTGAAACTGCAACATTTTGCTGTATTTGAAAAAAGGTTTTTAGTATAAACATTTTCGTAACTATAAAAAGTTAATTTCGACACAAAGTTGTTGTAAGATTACATGCTTTCTGGGGCATCATTGAATTATGCCTCCACTTAATTTTGCGATGCAATTTTTAGGGTTGGTGGGCAGTAGCGAACACATGCTAAAAAAAGTTTAAAGCAAAAATAGGGGGCTGAGACCCGCCATATTAAGTCAGGGACACTATTCAATTACGCGATTAGTTAAAGCAAGGCTCATAGTTAAGTTCAGAGTAAATAAAAAAAGAGAGACAGAAACTGTTATTTTATTAAAGTGTTCACCCCCCCCCAGTTTTACTTAAAAAGAAACAAATTAGAATTAAGAATACAAAGCAAAATTCGTCAATTTAGTTTATCTGCTGGATTGTCAAAGAAAAATTTTGTAAGCGAAATTTCATTGTAGTAAAAGGAATATTAAAATGCTAATTTCACCATATGAAATTATCTCTAGCTATGGAATACTAATTCGACGCCAGGGTGGTAAATGATTCGAGATTGAAAACTAGTCGAAGTTCCCATATTTACGAAATTCCTTCCCCAAAATGCACGGTATGTTCCCCGGAAATCGAGTATTTTTTTCCCCAATTGTCAATGGGCCGTTAGTTAAAATCTCGGTCATGAAATCTGGGTATAATTTCGCCGCTAAGTTACTGTGTTGACGTTGAATGCAGCTTTATGATCAGTGGTTTCCTATGAAATCGACAAACTAAATCATAAAAGTTGGTATTAGGGGGCACATAATGACTGAGTTTTATGGGGCAATAAAAAAAAGAAGGGCAGAATGTCGGGCACTAAAAGGCATATACTGGGTGAAACAATTTTTATGACTTTTTGCGAAAGGTTTCTAAAAAAGTGTGTTTGAGTTTCTGTTTCTGAATTCTTAGAAAGCTCAAAATTAAGATTTAAACTAGAACAATTAAAATAAAAGAGATTTAATATAGGGTGTTTGATATTTATATCTGAAGGTACGATCAGTACGGAAAAAAACCCACCTTGAATAACCGAATTACTTTTGTTCTAATAATCGGAATTTTACGAATTAAGAATCTAAAAGTGCCAATCCTAATGACTCAAAAGGATGAATAACTCAAATATGCTAATTAATTACTGCAGTCTTTATTTTAAGTTGCGAAATCTGAAGCAAAATCGTACTTTCTCTAAACAAAAATACGGGTATGGATTTTTAGGATCTGTGGGGTTGCTGCATTTTGGAGATTGTGATCCCAAGTTTAGTCAGAAGAGTGGATAACTTAATATTAGTTTCATTTTTTACATATTTCGCAATACCTCGAGAAGTTCTTAACTATTTTTTCTCATAACTATAAAATTCATTTATCAAAAGTAATTACTTGTAAATAATTTTTAACTATTTTACTTAATTTCAGTCAAAAAAAATTTTTTTTTTGGAATTATAAGATATACATGTGTTTGCACCATTTTAAACTATACAACTTATCCTAGCACAATTTAACATTATCCGAACATGAAATCCTAGACTATGGGGATTATTTTAAGGTAGTGAATGGAAAAAAAGTAACCGCAGTTACTTTGTTAACTTTGTAATAAAGTAACTTTGTACTAAAAGTAACTTTGTTAATGCTATTTGTATGAATCGAGCCTTGCAATCATAAAATAGACTGTGTAGAGTTATCAAGTTTTAACTAGTGCTCGGCGTTGGGTGATAATACAAATTTCCAAACCGTTACAAGCGGAATTTTTTTGCCAATCGAAATTTTGACTACTTTCCTAACGAAACAATTTTTATCTAATGGCTGGCACTGAACTAGTATCACGTTTTTCGCCACGGAAAATGTCGGAACTGTTGCTCATTTAACCCTACACCTGCGTAATTCGTGGACACACGTGGACCTAATTCACTGAGGCGAGCTACATTACCCTCGCCACTCTGCCAAGGTTACTCATTCATGATATTTACACTTCACATTGCAGAGGACAAACAGAGAGAAAGAGACATACATGGCCTGACTGCTTGTCCACCCATCTGGGCCAACTGTAACATGCTAAGAGACAAAATAAACCGGTGTTCAAAATTAAAAGAATTCGCATATTTTGTTAAATTTCTTGAAAACAACTGACTAAAATGTAAACTGCTCTTCTTCCTTTTGCATATATTGCCGATTTTTGTGGTGCTTTCTTTTTGTAGCAATCTTAAACGATTCTCTTAGTTTAATTTTAAAGATATGAATAACTGCCAACGTTAAGTTGATGGAATAAGTGGAGAAATCTGGAGAGACTTTAAGCAGGTCATTATTTTTATTTTATAACCGTCGTTGAACAACTGACCCAATTTTTAAAGTTTACTACTACTGTTCAACTCCGTAGCCTTGTAATTTTGAACCCGATTCAGTAGACAAGGGAATTCCTGAAACAAGTATTGGGAGAAATTTGCCTTCGTGGAAGACTTTTTGATGGAACTAACCCGCACTTCCATTACACGGAAAGGAAAACTACTAAAACCTCCCACGGTTAGCCTGATAGCAGGGGGACTCTGACCCATGATTCGTCCACCACTGGGGATATATTGCGTCAGCATTGTGGACAGTGCAAGCCGGATGCAGAATTCGTATCGACCAGCCATCGCTGGGATTCGAAACTGGTTCACCTCAGTGGAAGGTGAACGCTCTATCCGCTAGGCCAGCACGGCTTTCAAATCCAGATTTGTAGAGAATTAAATTTAACACCTAGCACCGTGGGCAATTTATGGACACAATTTCAGGATTCTGTCGAGAGAAAGAGTGGCCAAAGTTGGTCAAGAGACGCAATGACCAACGAAGATCGGCATTTGTTGATTACAGCGAAGAGTCATGGATGCTTTCTTAGCTGTCTCATGACCTCTATACTGCCACAGGAAGCCGAGTTTCAAGGGTTACTGTTTCCAAAAGGCTTCATAAGAGAGGGCTGTTTGCAAGAAGACGTGCTGTTTGTATTCCGTTGATTTCTTTCAATAGAAGAATCCGTTTAGAATGGTGCAGCGATCATAGAAATTGGAGCATGGATCAGTTGTCGAATGTTCTCTTCACTGATGCGCCCCTCTTCAGCCTGACCACTGACTCTCGACATGCTTCCAGAAAAACAAAACCAGGGAACCACTATCTGGCCTCTGATGTCCGAAACATCGACCATTGGCTGCTGATGTTTGCTAATATAAGCAGGCATGATACTGGATTCCCGCACACCTTTCCACGCCTTTTCGTATGATGTACTGTGACTGATGCGGGGTATAGGTATGATGTCTTTTAGCCCTATATTCGACTTTTTAAGAGTGTAGTGGGCCCTGTTTTTATTTTAATGAATGGAATTGCGAAATCATTACAAAGTATTTCTAGTTTACCATTTTCTGGAAAATCAAGATCTTCACCTGATGGATCGGCAAGCCAGATCTCGAGATCTCATCTTTATGGATCATGTCTGGGATGATTTAGGAAGGGTAATTGGAATACGTAATTGCTCTCCAAGAACTGTTCAGTGTCTGAAAACACTGTTAGTGAACAAGGGGAACAAACAGACTTAAGAACTCATAAGTTTTTTTAAATAAAAAGGAAAAAAACTAAGTTTCCCTCCCCTTGATGAATAAGAAAGTACGTGTATTTTTCCCATAAATTTGGAATGGAAATACAAAAATGTACAAACTAAAAGGTTATGAAGTACACAAGTACGTATTTTTTTTACTTAAGTCAATTTCTTCGAAAAAAAAAAGAAGAGTGTGGTGTCGGTATCATGTATTATAATAAGGCGGTACGTAAACTGACGAATTACAAAAACGTAAACTGACATATTACAAATTTGAGAAATGTCGATATCACGTGTATAATTTTGTTTAGACTAATATGCTATATGTTGGTATGTTATAAATGTGTATAATATTATGTATAATATCTGATGACAAAATATGGCGGAAAATCAAATGTTGAAATACCAAAAATGCTCTGAATTTATTTTCCTGTAAAAACTATTGCCTACAAAAATTGATAGATATCAAAACCCAAGTACCTTTAAAGTGAGTGATAAAACGTTATACTTTGGACTGTTCAACCCTATTTTCTCACGCACTTCTGATAATCTAATATTAAAAAGTTACAAAAACAATTCTACCGAAAAAAGAAACATAATTGGCTCTATACACGCTTAGAACGAACGTTACGGAGGAGAAGCGTCACCATCACGAAAATCTCTTCCGTCTTCGATCTGTCTCACGGAATTCCACAAGTTCCTAATCCTAAATCGCTGCAAAAAATTCCACATGTCGTCAAAGCTACATTTCATTGCACTGTATGTCCTTTTAACAAAGTTCCCTTCCCTTCAATGCTCTAACGTATACAATTTCGTCACCATAGTTACGCAGTTAGTTCATTGTGTACGTGTCCCTTTGTGAAGCTATGAATATTAAGCATATTAGTGACATGCAATCTGGCAACGACTCTCTTACCGAGTGGAGTAAAGAAGTAAACTTTCTTCTGCAGACGACAATTTTCGTGTTCTTCGTGCTTTTGCATCGAACATCTTTGATTGATTAGTGGTTGATTGTTCGCCTCGGCGGAAGATTTTTTTACGAGTTATTTGATTTATATGTGTTCTTTTTTTGTGTTGGAGAGATTTATATAGATTGGATTATTTGCACTCGACTGGAAATAATGGTGTTTTAATTGGTATTAAAATTGCATGGAATAAACAGAAGTTATGTAAGTACATTTAATATTTTAATAATTTCAAATTTCTACCTTAATTAATATCATTATTTAATTCCATAAAAGAGTAAATGCGAAGAGTTTTCTTTTAAGTGTAATTTTGAGTTGAGCACAAGATTTGATGCTTGAAGTTAAACATTGTTTATTCTGTAGTGAGAAATAAAAACCGAAACTAATGTCTGCATATTTTAATTTTATTTCTTTTGCATACAAAATTTGTTTTTATTATCATATTATAAAGTGTCAAACATTCAGTAACGATAAAAAAAGATTTTTTTAAATTTTAATTTTGCTTTGAGTTTACTACTTGTTAAATCATGGTGTTAAAAATGTTGTCACATGATTAAAAATCAAGCATATTTGAATTTTTATTATTTTGTCTTTTACATTCAAATTCATATTTTTTTCTTATATCAAAAATCCAGTAAATGTGAAAAATTTTGTTAAATCACGTTTTTAAATTGTTCACCTTGTGTTAAAAATTTGTGTTAATAATTGTGTTTTAAATCGTCACAGTTCTACAGATTGAGTACGTCCACATTTCATATGCATGAAAACATTTATTTTAACTTTTATTTAAAGGCGAAAATTCCAAGAAACAAAAGTTTTATGCAATTCAAGTTTAGTAGCTGCCCCGATGTTCCAGATTTTTCTGTTAAAAATATTTTGCTTTTATTTGCCATTTTTTAAGAGTTGATTTGATTAACCCGATATTTCTGATTTTTTGTGGGTTCAGAACATTTCGTTTTATGCGAATAGGAATATGTATGTTTGAAAAATAGATTGAAGAATCATAAGATTTTGAATTTTTGATCCATTATTATTTTTATTTTAATTACTATTGCTTGTAGAAGTTGCAAAATTTAATAATTTCAACTTAGGAACAGTCTCTTGATTATAAACTTGGTTCACGCTTAGAGCCTAACATACAGAATCCATTGTTTCAACTTTAGCGGAAATTCAGACATTCCATAAAAAGAGAAATCGAGTAATAATTTTGGTTAATAAAAATTTTATGATGATTAATTCAGGGCACATATGCTTATTTACTATTTTCAGCAAATACAGTATAAAATCTTGTCGGATGGCTTTCCGCAGTTTCACAATTATTGATTCGTCCTTTTTATGCAATTTCAAAAAGAATCTATTCCAATCAACAATACAGTAATCATAGAATTTTCAAATGATGAAATGAGAGATCATCATCTAAAATTTTACAAAACTGTTCACTGTTATGAGGGAATGATAACTAATTGGTACAGGTTATTATTTTTCTTCTTCATTGCAACAGTAATCTGAAACATTTACATATATTTACTTAAAACTACTTTAAGTTTTTTATTGATTAAATTTTACCGGACACTGTTACTTTCTGTTCCAAGCAAAGTAGTTTTGAAAATACAAATAGTATATTTTGTTATTCGTTTGCGGTAAAATTAAGTAGATTAAGAAGAAAATTAAGTACTTCGATTAAAATTAAGTAGAGAAAATTATACTTTTTATTTTGTCGTTTGCATTTTTTTTATAAGTAGTATGGTATATGTATACTGTTCCAAAAATGTCCTGATTTTTCTAAAAAATATCCTTTATTTTTTTGGTCTGCTACAAAGTTTGGTAATTGCAATTTTGTAATTGAGCGTGTCAATCGTTATTTACTCTATGCTGTGTTTAATTTATAGTGAGGCAATTAACAACCTGTCTAATAATGACTAATGTAGGCACATTTTCATTATTTTCGTATTTCACATTCAAAAAATTAGAAAATTCAACGAATATGAAAATTGTTTGCATTGAATTGAAATTTTTGAATGAATTTAAGGATGAAAATTGAAATTTTGCAATGTTTAATGCTTGGGGTTAAAATGACTTTAATTTGTGGATGAGATAAAAAAAGAGATGAAATATGAATGAAATCTTGAAAAAATGAATTAACCAAATTTCTACAAATACACATTATTATTAGATTTCAGTAATTCAATAAATGTTTAAATAGTCTGATTAGCTGCAATTTCCACCCGAATAATAATGATAATAATAAAAAAAAAATCAATGCCGGAGATTAAATATTGTCATAAGATGAATAAATTTTAAACAAGAATAATTTATGCAGGTTCCAATTTTAATTCAGACTTTTCTTTAGGATAATTATTTTCAATGGTTATTAAAAATTAAGTAAATGTGAAAATTACTTGCTTAGATACCATTTCAACTAAATGCAAAAAACTTTTCCTTGCTTGAAATTAAAAATCTTTTGTTTGTTGAAAGTTGAAATTGATATTTTCATTTTTACTTTAGATCATTATTAGGCTCAGAAATTCCGTAAACGTGAAGAAAAGTTGTTCAGTTACAATTTCGGAATTAAGTAATAAAATATCTACATGTTTGAAATTAAATAATGATTAGTTGTATATAGATAGATTATAGATTAGATACAAATTAAATAGACTAGTTAGATTATAGATATATATAGGTAGATTAGTGTATTAATAAAGATAAAACAAGAATAATGTGTGCAAATTAAAATAATCTTTGAAATCCTTTTTAAAATAAAATGATTAAAATGTGAAGGGTATTTTCTCAGTGGAATTGTGGTATTAACTACAAATTTTTCAATGAGCTTTAAATTAATGCTTAATTCGTTGCGAGTTGAATAAAGAGAAAGCCGATAAGATGACATTAAATTTTCATTATATTTTAGATTTTCTATTCAAATGCACGTTCTTAGTATTATTACACGAAGCCGAAAATTCAGTGCATGTAAAGATGTACGCAACCCCAAATTGATGAAGTTTTTCAGCCTCTGTAATTATACTAACCGAGCCTTGGTGGTCCAGGGGATAGAGTGTTCGTCTTCCAATGAGGTGAACGGGGTTCGAATCTCAGCGATGGCTGGATGATACGAATTCCGAACCACAGTGCTGACGTAAAATATCCTCAGTGGTAGATGTATCATGGGTTATTCCCCTTGCCGTCAGATTAACCGTGGGAGGTTCTCGTAGTCTTCCTCTCTATGTAACGCAAATGCGGGTTAGTTCCATCAAAAGGTCCTGAACGAAAGCATATATTCCCCAATATTTGACCCAGGGGTTCCCTTGTCTTCTGGATTGGGTTCAAATTTACAAGGCTACGGAGTTGAACATTAGTAGTCGTAAACTGAAAATTGGGTCGGCTGTTCATCTACGGTTATAAAATAAAAATAAAAATTGTATTAACCAAAGAAAGGTCAACGAATTTTTTTTTGTGGAAATATTTAACTTGAAGAACGTAAAGTTTATTTATTGATTAAAGTTTTTAAAATTAGGTTTTCGGACAGTTGATTTCACATACTGCTAGTCTAGTTCTTAAATGCTTTTGGTGTGTATATAATTTGAAAATAAATAAAATAAGCTGAATATGATATGTGAAAAATAAAACTGTTTTAACTGATCATGAATTTGGTCATTTTATTTTGAATTCAAAAATTCGATGTTTGATATTGAAGCGATTTTGTATAAATGCAAATATTTTTTTGTAATTTTTTTATTATAATGTTGGTTCTTCTAAAATTTCGCTTCTAATTTTTGGCATTTTACTTAAGTAATTTCATAAAAATGGATTATGTTAGGATTCATGTTTGAATATGAATATTTACAAGTCTCAAAAGTCAATATCATTTCTAAAAGTGCCAATCCTAGTGGTTCAAAAGGGTGAAATCAAAATTTGCTAATTAATTACTACAGTCTTCATTTTAAGTTGCAAAATCAGAAGCAAAAACTTACTTTTTCTGAATAAAAATACGGATATGGATTTTTTAGGATCTAGGGGGTTGCTGCAATTTGGAGACTATGATCCCAATAGTTTAGTCAGAAAAGCGGGCAAAACTTCGTGTTAGTTAATATTAGTTTCACTTCTTACGTATTTTGCAATATTTTGAGAAATTCTTAAACTAACCTAACCGTTTTTGCTCATGGCGTTAAAACTTACTTATCAAAAGCAATTACTCGCAAAAATAATAATTTTTTAACATTTCATTTAATTTTGGTCAAATTTTTTTTTTTAAAATTGTAAGATATACATATTTTTGCACCATTTTAAAATTATGTAGTTTTAAAGGACAAAATACAAACTTTAAACTAAAAAGGTTTAATAATTCTTAGAAATTATAATTTAAAAATACGACTCTTTTGACATTTTACCAACAAGTTTATTACATCATTTAAATTACGTGGTTTAAATCGTTTCTACATTGTTACATCGTTATTATTATTACATCGTTGCATCGTTTAAATTACGTAATTTAAATAATGTAAGAATTTTATACGTTATAACTTAAAAAGTTCTCGACTGTTATAAAATTAAAAAATAAACTATCATAAAAAATATTAATTGCTATTTTTACATGGATAACCCTTAATTTGATAGACAGAAATCCAAATAGCAATTTGGAGATTATGATCCCAATAGTTTAGTCGAAAGAGCGGAGATCTTAATAGTTTCACTTTTTACGTACTTCGGAATACCTCGAGAAATTTTTAAAGAAATCAAAAAATTTTTGTTCACAACTATAACACTCACTTATCAAAAGTAATTACTTATAAAAATAAAATTTTTTTTACTATTTTATTTAATTTTGGTCCAAAAAAAAATTTTTTTTTTGAATTGTAAGATATGCATTTTTTTGCACCATTTTAAACTATACAATATATACTAGCACAATTTAACATTATCCGAACATTAAATCCTAACGTTGGTTAGTGTCGTGTTATGAACAGAAAATAATTTCAAATTTGATCAAAGGTCTTATATACAACATTTGCAATTTGAAGGTAATTCTCTTCATATAAGTCAGCCCGCGGATTGTCACTTATTTGCTGCAATTGCGCGAGTATAGCGGGACAGTTGAAAAGATGTATGGGGGTTAGTTCTATGTCTGGGCAATTTTTGCAGAGGTCCTTGTTCCGTCACCATGAATCCCCCTAAAGTGTCCAGTCCGGAGTCTTGTTAGTGTGCTGGTG